ATCACCCCTCACTTCACCTACCTCTAGTCAGGCTCACTTTTCTACATCCAGTTCAGTACGAGATCACTCACCCATTCCATTGGCACAGTATCCCCCAGTCAACGTGGAGGATCTAACCTACCACCTTCAACAAATAGTTGAAACTATGCAGCAAGACGCTGCTCGTCAAGCCGAGGTCATAGCACGACAGGCTGAGGTAATAAACAGGCTGCAATAACAACAGCCACAGCCGGCAGTAGCTTTTGCATCTCATGCACCTCCTACAGGTATCCCAGCACTTGGAGCCACTGTCCATGTTGAGAATCAGGGCAATTCAGCAAGGCCGATTCCACCACAGGCCTCCAAAGCACCTGTGTATCCAATTAAGGCTCCATTTGAATTTGAGGTTGACCCGACTGTGCTTAAAGTCAACAAACTGGAGAAGCTCCTCAAGAGAGCGCAGGGTGTGAACTCTATCCCCGACATAGAAGATAGGTATGCCGACTCTGCAGTGACATTGCCAGACCGGTTCAAAATGCCATACATCGATCAGTTCAATGGCTCTGAAGACCCCATGGTTCATCTTCGGCTGTTTTCAGACATCCTGCGGCCAATGGGCCTGACCAAACTACAGAAGCTCTCACTCTTTGGCCGGACTATGTCGGGAATGGCCGCTACATGGTATGCAAAGCTAGAGGATTTTGTGAAGCAGAGTTAGGAGAAAATAGTTAAGGCCTTTGTTGCACAATACTCATACAATTTGCAAATTGAGGTCACAACTCATGATCTTGAGTAGGGGTGAGCGCGGGTCGGTTGCGGCCACGAAACCTCCAATCCGCCATCTGTCCGCCAGATTGGCGGATTGGAGAAAATCAATCCGCATCCGTCTGCCAATCTGGCAGATGTGGATTGAACGGTTTGGCGGTTTGGCGGATGGATGCGAATCGGTTTGGCAGTTTAAGATTTTATAAATTTTCAACATAATTCAACATGTGCACTTCTTAAAAAAAAAGAAAAAAAAGAAAGAAAGTATTACAGTCAATGACTTAAAAAACTATTACAATCACTGTATGTCTTATCCAAAAAAAGAAAGTTTGAAACTTTAGAATATCACAATTACTGCATGGCTCATCCACATATTACAATCACAACATGATTCATCCACATAAAGTATTACAATCTGTGGTTCTTAAAATATAATAACAATTCAAACCACCAAAACCATGAACATAGCAGTAGTAAAGATTGTATGTCTCTGTATTGTTACATCTATATATGTTTTTGAAAACAAAAACGAACCAGCATATATCATATTTTCTATTTATTATTTTTAGAGTTAAATTTAAAAACCAAAAAATGTAGATAAACAATACGCTAATTTTTTTCAATTCAAAAAATATATTCAAGTTGAAATTTTTTTTCAACAGAATATTTAAACTCTTTTTCAATTGAAAACACAAACAAAATATTTACAAATTGAAAACATAAAGTCTTATAAATTATTAGAGGTGCTCGCGGTTTGGCGGTTCGGTTGCCCGTCCGCCAAATTGACAGATTGGAGAAAATCAATCCACAACCGTCCGCTCGTCATCACGCATCCATCCAAAATGTGGCGGATCGGTTCGGTTCGGTCGGTTTTGGCGGATCGGTATATCCGCTGCTCACCCCTAATCTTGAGGGAACGCGCCAGGAGCCAAAGGAGGGCTTTTCAGAATTCAAGACAAGGTGGAGGGCCAAGGCTTCTGTCACGACCCAAACCCGCCTCTATGGGTTTAGCGTCATAACCGGCCAGTAATCCTTGGATTACCAAAGGCCTCTTAACATAATAATATATAATTAGGGGCCGCAGAAGCAAATACATAAAATATACATAGTCCATCGAGCTGTGAAGACATACATGGGACAAATAATCTTAAACTTTCATAAACTTACGAGTGACGTCAAAAGATACAATATTTACATGTCACTTTATGTATATAAAAATAGAAAAACTTGTTCGTGGAGCAAAAAAAACAAAGTCTTATACTTTCATAATAGCACAGCCACAAGACTTGACTTAATCCGGAACCTCCTCGGGAGGCACAAAGGTTGGCTGACAAAAACTGAGACGCTAGGTCCTCAACTCTGAGCCTGGTCACGTGTTTGATCACCTACATACATAATATAAATAGTGAGCGGGAACCTAGTGAATAATAACAGAGTAAAGGGTTAAATGAATGATGTCCCATAACTAAGTTTGCACATAAAATAGATTTATATTCTTATTCTTGTTCAATTCATATACAAAAATCAGAATTCATGCTTGATCATATGTAGTTCATCCGTTAGCGCTAATAGATCACATACAAAGCATCGAAGATCATACTTGTCAGCTCCATAAAGGAACCTCCGGCTAGGTACAGATAACTTGTTAGTTCCATAATGGAACCTCCGGACTAGAAACATATAACTTGTTAGTTCCATAAGGAACCTCCAGTCGGGAACAGATAACTTGTTAGTTCCATAAGGAACCTCCGGTCCGAGAACAAATAGCATACTTGAATCATAGCATAAATATCACAAACATTTGTTAAAGTTGGACAATCATTCATAGTATAAAACATGGCATTTCATAGAACAGATCTTATTCCATATATAGAAAATAATTTAACTTGAACATAGGTTTACTAAGTTATTACTCACAGATAACAGATGGCTCCAAGTAAATGGACAAAGTAAGCAAATCAGAGATTTTGTGGCGTGTGACCTACATAGATACAGAACGAATACATGCTAAATTACACACCCGAAGTCATTAACTTAGTTCTTTTTTGTTTTGGTGTGTTTCTACTTCTTTACCCTCATTATGGTGTCTTAATCTTGGCCTACGAATGCCTAGGATGAAACGAGGGTGCGAAAATGCATTTGAAAACACTTAACAAAAATTGCTGAAAACAGGGTCCTTGCTCGAACGTAACTTCCTACGCTCGAGCGGACATGCAAAATGTGAGTGGTTGCTCGAGCGGTCTATAAACTTTTGCAAAAGTGCTGGTTGTTTGATTTTTTCGCCCGATGCTCGCTCGAGCGTGAGAGACATGCCCTCGCTCAAGCGCAACTTTTGTCGTTTGAGCGGTCTACAAAACATTAAGAACTTCTGGGAGCATGCATTTCATGCTTGAGCGGCCTTCTGGCCGCTCTAGCGGAAGTACATACACTTAGAGTGGTCGCTAGAGCGTGGATTCCTTTGCTTGAACGTAGGAGTAGAATTATGAAATTTCTAGAATTGCTTCCAAGCTTTAAAACTCAATTTCAAAACCACAAATCTTATTCTTTTGGGCCAAAACTCAAGGAAACATGTCTAAACTTGAAAATTATTAAGAATGAAGGATCATTTCATGAAATCAAGGCCCCTAAGCTTGACAATTGAGCAAACTCAAACTTGAATTATGAAAACATAATGTAGATATGACATGCATGTAAATTTCTTGAACTAAGGCTTTTCAAAACATGATCAATTAAGGTCAAATGGTAAGAAATGTGATGAATTCTCAAAACAAAGTCAAGATAGACACATGTATGGGGGATTTGTTTGAAATTCAAACTCAAAATGCTATGATATGGAATGACTTAACTTTCTTCAATTCTAGCTCAATTGCCTTGTGAATTCACCTAATTCACTTGTTTCCATGCATTAATCAACTACTTTACAAGGCCAAAGACTAGAATTCTTACCTAGAGTGCTAGATTCATAAGTGTAAAAGCTTCAATCTCCAAACTCACTCCTATTCTTCAACAATTCGTAGCAAATCTCTCTTTTCAAGCTCTTGATCTCAATTCCTTCTCTCTCTATCTCTCTCCCCTACGTTTGAGTTCAAAGATATAAGTGAATGAGAGTGTAAAGTGTAAAAGAGGTGATGAGGGTGGCCTTATATAGGCTTACCTAGTGGTGGTTCATTAAAGCTAATCAAATGGGCATTAAATTAATCCAATTTAATCATTCCTAATCGAATTTCAATTAAACTTACTATAAAATTCTAAAAATTTCAATTAACACATAAGTCAAGTCAATTTTTGAATTGGATGCCGATAAGGCTTTTAATTCGCAAACCGAAACGGAAACATGAACAGATCTTTCCATGTTAAACATATATAAACACATATAAGGCAACAAATGATGCAAAATTTCACTTTAACTACTTATTAGACATAATTAAGCATGGATTAACATTAATCATGGGTCGGGTTGTTACAGTCTTCCCCCCTTAAAGAGTTTGGTCCTTCAAACTCGAGTTACTTTCATTCTGGAAGAACACCGTATTCAAAGGAAACAACTCAAGGTATCTTCTCATCATGTCTTCTTCTGTCTCCCAAGTTGCATAAGTTCCTCCATGATTCTGCCAATCAACCTTCACTAATAGAATTTCCTTGTTTCTCAATCTTTTAATTCGGCGGTTCACAATTTGCATTGGCCTTTCATCGGATGTATAATCATCTTTTAGAAGTACATGGGTCGGCTCAATCATATGTAGTGGATCTCTCAAATAATCTCGAAGCATAGAGATATGAAATATATTGTGCATATGTTCCATGACTGGTAGTAAAGCCACCCGATACGCCACTGAATTAATCTTCTTAAGGATTTCATAGGGTCCAACATATCTTGGTGCCAATTTGCCTTTCACGCCAAACCGTGTCTGGCCTTTCATTGGAGTCACTTTGATAAATACGTAGTCCCCGACTTCATATTCCTTGTCTCTTCTTTGGACATCAGCATAGCTCTTCTGGCGACTTTGTGCAGTTTTCAGTTTTTGTCGAATCAATTTCACATTTTCAGTTGTTTCTTGTACCAGTTCCGATCCCAATAAAGGTCTGTCACTTACCTCGGCCCAACAGATCGGAGAATGACATTTCCTATCATACAAAGCTTCATATGGGGCCATACTAATACTTGAGTGGTAGCTATTGTTATACACAAACTCATCCAGAGGAAGGTAAGTCTCCCAGTTGCCTTGAAAGTCTAACACACACATCTGTAACAAGTCCTACAATGTTTGAATGGTCCGTTCTGATTGGCCATCTGTCTGTGGGTGATAAGTACTACTTAATCTCAATTCAGTCCTAAAGGCCTGTTGCAAACTCTGCCAGAATCTTGAAGTAAACTTGGGATCTCTGTTAGACACTATGGACAATAGAATTCTGTGTAATTTTACAATCTCATTGACATACAAATTAGCCAACTTATCCGCATTATACAAAGATTTGACAGGTAAAAAGTGAGGAGATTTAGTTAGACGATCAACAATAACCCAAATAGAATCCATACCTCGAGAAGAGCAAGGCAATCCCATGATGAAGTCCATGGTAATGTGCTCCCATTTCCATTCCGGTATTGGAAGTAGCTGTAATAAACCAACGGGTTGTTGATGTTCAGTTTTGACTTGTTGGCAATACAAACATTGGACTACAAAATCTGCAATGCTCTTCTTCATTCTAGGCCACCAGAAATTCTATTTTAAATCATGATACATCTTTGTGTTTTCCAGATGCATGGAAAATTTGGAGTTGTGAGCTTCTGTCATGATACGTTTCCTTAAATTAGAACAATTCGGCACACAAAGACGACTCTAAAATTTCGACACATTGTTTTCAAATACAAACACGGGCCTTGGTTTTGAGTCAATTTCATTCACAATCTTTTTCAAGAACTCATCTTGCAATTGTTTCTCTTTAATTTCTTCGATGATTGCAGGCTGGGGAGAGATAGCAGTTAAGATTCCACCTTGTTATCGCAGTACAACTTCAATCTCATCCTTTTCCAAGTCACATAGTAATTTTTTCTGACCAGTAAACAAACATGACAAATTTCCTATTGACTTTCTACTTAAGGCATCTACCATAGTATTAGCTTTTCTCGGATGATATAAAATATGTAGATCATAGTCTTTGATCAATTCCAACCATCTTCTCTGTTTCATGTTTAGTTTTTTCTGTGTAAAGAAGTATTTCAAATTTTCATGGTTGGTGTACACCTCGCAAGTCACACCATACAAATAATGTTGCCAAATTTTCAAAGCAAACACCACAGCCGCCAGTTCAAGATTATGAGTCGAGTAATTCTTTTCATGTGGTCGGAGTTGTCGAGAAGCATAAGCAATTACCTTTCCATTTTGCATTAATACACAATCCAAACCTTTGTAGGATGCATCACCGTAAATCTGAAACCCATTAGTACTATTAGGGAAAGTCAAAATCGGTGTAGTTACTAATCTGGTCTTCAACTCTTGAAAGGAAAACTCTCTTTGATCATTCCAATCAAATGATACATTTTTCTAGGTTTACTGGGTCAATGGCATAGCAAGTTTTGAAAATTCTTTCACAAATCTGCGATAATAGCCTGCAAGTCCCAGAAAACTTCTAACTTCTGACACATCCGTCGATTTAGGTCAATCCACAATAGCTTCAATTTTCTGTGGGTCTATCGATATGCTATCCCTGTTGATTACATGGCCTAGAAAGGCTACGTTGTCCAGCCAAAATTCATATTTGGAAAATTTTGCATATAACTTCTTTTCCCTCAAGATTTGTAAGGCAGTTCTCAAATGATTCTCATGTTCTTCCCTGCTTTTGGAGTAAATCAATATATCATCAATAAAGACAACAATAAATTCATCTAGGAATTGTTTGAACACCTTATTCATTAAATCCATGAACGCTGCAGGTGCATTGGTTACCCCAAATGGCATTACCAAAAATTCATAGTGTCCATACCTAGTTTTGAATGCAGTTTTCTTTATGTCTTCTTCTATCGATATGCTATCCCTGTTGATTACATGGCCTAGAAAGGCTACGTTGTCCAGCCAAAATTCATATTTGGAAAATTTTGCATATAACTTCTTTTCCCTCAAGATTTGTAAGGCAGTTCTCAAATGATTCTCATGTTCTTCCCTGCTTTTGGAGTAAATCAATATATCATCAATAAAGACAACAATAAATTCATCCAGGAATTGTTTGAACACCTTATTTATTAAATCCATAAACGCTGCAGGTGCATTGGTTACCCCAAATGGCATTACCAAAAATTCATAATGTCCATACCTAGTTTTGAATGCAGTTTTCTTTATGTCTTCTGCCTTGACCTTTAACTAGTCATACCCGGATCTAAGGTCAATTTTAGAAAATACTTGGGCTCCCTGGAGTTGGTCAAATAGGTCATCTATTCGGGGTAATGGATATTTTTTCTTCACGGTTACTTTATTCAACCAACGATAGTCAATGTATAGTCTCAAAGATCCGTCTCTCTTTTTAACAAACAACACTGGGGATCCCCAAGGTGAGGTACTCGGACGGATGAATTTCTTGTCTAAGAGTTCTCGGAGTTGAACTTTTAATTCTTTCTGTTCAGAAATCGACATTCTAAATGGAGTTTTAGAGATAGGTTGTGTTCCTGGTACTACATCAATGGTAAACTCAATTTTCTTATCAATTAGGTTTCCGGGTAGGTCATTAGGAAACACATCAGGAAATTCATAAACCACAAGAATAGTTTCCACGCTAGTACTATCTGAAGATACAGTCATTACATTGCACAAGTAACCCCGACAACCTTTTCTTAATAATTTTCCGACTTTCATAAATGAAATCAAGTATGGTGGAGGAACTAACCCATTCCCAGTGAAAACAAACTTAGGCATACCAGGTGGTTTAAACGTAATGGTTTTATTCACACAATCAATAGTGGCACAATATTTCGACAACCAATCTATGCCCAATATATTGTCACGACGCAAACCTGCCCCTAAAAGTTTGGATGTGACCGGCCTAACTTAAGGCCTCAACTTTGCTATAATAAATTTTATTCAATATTAGGGCCAGAACGGAAGCAAAATAATAGAATAAAACATTCATTGAACTGTGACTACATGCCAAGATCTTAATACATTACCATACATAAGTACATGACATTTCATACACCATTTACATTACTGATTATGTGGAGAAGGGAATCGCCCAAAGGTTAGGTAATTCCAAAGCATATTTACATATATCTATTCCTTCTAATTCCAACAAAACGTGCCAACATACAGATTTTCCAAAATTAAACAAAAGAGTCACTTCTGGCGACTCAGCAAAATGGTTCAGTAAATGACTCCTGGCTGACCTACGGTGGCTCCGTGAGCTGATTACCTACAAAACATCCACAAAAGAAAATGAAGTGAGCAAGGCATAGTGAATGATAGTAATATGAACATATTAAGGGTCCGAGCATAATCTAACAATGCATATTCATAAATCACAGGTTGGAATTATTCATATTTCTTTTTATGAATAGCCTCGGGCCCGCATAAGACAGAACGGCCTTAGGCCCATTATAATAGCAAAATGGCCTCGGGCCCAACAGAATACAAAACGACCTTAGGTCCATTAGTTTAGCAAAACGGCCTTGGCCCATCATAATAGCAATCAGAACGACCTCGAGTCCATATCTCATGTGCCAAAGCTCAAACATATATCAAACATAACTCTTATAACAAAAGATATTTACCAAATGGGTGAATAAGCTATCGAACCACACATATGAATATAATGCATGAATGGGACATGACATTACGCTACTATCACTCACAGTGATGTGGGTGAACGATGGTCCCCTCATGTATGTGCCCTACACACCGCACACAACTCGTAAGTATATCACATTTTTCTTAGTTTCTTCTTATTTCTCAATTATTCGATTCATTAAACTCCATATAATTTAATGCATTATAGGAACATCCAATGGCCATAATAACGCATTCAGAGGGTCGAAAAGAGCGAAAGAAAATTACAAAATTTTTCAGTTTGGGCCGCACGTGCGGAAGTCCCCACTACACGTACTTTTATTGCAGTGTAGCCCAATCTTGCTCCCCGTACGTGCGGTTGTGCCTTCCGCACGTGCGGCCATGAGCCTCGCACGTGCGGTCGTATACCCTGTTTTGGGCAGTCCAAAACTCCATCCAAGTCAAACTTTCCAAGGCATTTCTAAGGGCAAATATAAGTAACACCTTCTCAATATCATATTATGTGAACATAACAAACAAGGATTCATACATAAATATATCATAATTCACCTTAAGAAATTTATACAATTTTATAATCATATTTCTTTTCATCTTTTCATGATTAAGTAAAGTAAATACAAACATATGTGCGAAGACCAAAGATTATCTAACACAAGAATCAATCCTCAACTAGATCAAGACAATGGATCTTAATGTCTTCCATGGATATTTACCAATCAAAGTGAGTAGCTCAAAAACCCCAAGTTAAATAAGTGGAGAACATCGTCCTCAAGCTTGATACAAAACAATTGGAGTGAAATTTAGGGTATTTGAGTTAGATTACACATACCTTGCCCTCTATTCTTTGAATCTTCTAGCCAAAACCCTTCAATTCCCAACCCCTAATTGCTCTCTTCTTTTTCTTCTTTTTGTCCTCAACTAGATCAAGACAATGGATCATGATGTCTTCCATGGATATTTACCAATCAAAGTGAGTAGCTCAAAAACCCCAAGTTAAATAAGTGGAGAACATCGTCCTCAAGCTTGATACAAAACAATTGGAGTGAAATTTAGGGTATTTGAGTTAGATTACACATACCTTATCCTCTATTCTTTGAATCTTCTAGCCAAAACCCTTCAATTCCCAACCCCTAATTGCTCTCTTCTTTCTCTTCTTTTTGTCTCCTCCAGGAGATAGTTTATATTTGTTTTTGATATTTGTTTTTGATGCTAAGTGTTGCCTTGAATCTCTTGTATCATAGGCTTATATAAGGCTAGCCCAATTAAATCACTTTAATTCATTACGAATCAAATTTCTACAAAACTTCATATTATGCCTAAAAATCATGTTGATCATAACCGTAAAGTCAATTTCGGGTTATCGCGCCTCTAAGGCTTTCAATTTCAAGTTCAAACAGTCTAATTTTAACAGATTTTCTCCAATAACCCACAGATAGAATGGCATAATTAAATAATTCGTATATGTAAGCACAACTCCACATGGAATTTCACATTAAACAGGTAATTACTCGTATAACTAGAGATGTAAAGCATATAAGAGGGTTGGGTTATTACACTCTCCCCTCTCCCCTCTCCCCTTATAATAAGTTTGGTCCCCCAAACTTGTTTTACCTTAGGTTGAAAATAATTCGGGATACCGCTGTCTCATATCCTCTTCTCTCTCCCAAGTCGCTTCTTTCCCATAATGTTCCTGCCACTCCACTTTCACCATAAGGACCACTTTATTTCGTAATTGCTTCATCTGTTGATCAAAAATCTGAATTGGTTTCTCCTCATACATCAATTTATCATCCAAGGTAATTTGTTGATAGTCTATCACATAGGAAGGATCTTGAAGATAACTTCGTAACATTGATACATGAACACGTCATGCACTTGTTCCATATTAGGCGGAAGAGCTACACGATAGGCTGCTGGACCTACCCTTTCCAGGATTTGAAACGGACCAACGTATCGGGGTGCTAACTTACTTTTTTTACCAAATCTTGAGTGGCCCTTTATTGGTGTGACTTTCACAAAAACATGATTACCCACTTCAAATTCTAAATCCCTTTGCCGGTGATCTGCATAACTTTTTTGTCTTCTCTGCGCGGTTTTTAGCCTTTCCTGGATAATTTTAATTCTCTGTTGTCAATCAAACAATCTTCGGTCCAAAGAATGATTTGTCACCGCCTTCAGTCCAGCACATGGGAGAGCGACATTTCTTTCCATATAGAGCTTCATAAGGTGCCATTCCTATGCTTGAGTGGTAACTGTTGTTGTATGCAAATTCTGTCAACGGTAGATGAGTTTCCTAACTTCCTTTGAAGTCCAAAGCACACATCCGAAGCATGTCTTCCAATGTTTGTATGGTTCTCTTGGATTGTCCATCTGTTTGAGGGTGGAAGGCTGTAATAAATTTCAATTTTGTTCCCAAAGCATCCTGCAAACTTTGCCGAAATCTTGATGCAAACTTTGGATCTCTATCGGATATGATTGAAACTAGGACACCGTGTAGTCGTACAATTTCATCCATTTATATGGTAGCTAGCTTGTCTGCGTTGTATTGAGTCTTTACAGGTAGAAAATGGCCTGACTTAGTTAGTCTATCAACAATCACCCATATGGAATTCATGCCCCGAGGAGTCCCCAGTAAACTCACAATAACATCCATGGTTAAATGTTCCCATTTCCATTCCGGGATTAGGAGGAGTTGAAGTAAACCCGCCGGTCTCTGGTGCTTCACTTTTACCTGTTGACATTGCAAACTCCTTGACACGAATTCTACAATTTCCCTCTTCATACCAGGCCACCAAAAATTCTGCCTCAGATCTTGATACATTTTCGTATTACCAGGATGCATTGCAAATTTGGAGTTATGTGTTTCCTCCATAATTCTTCTCTTGATTTCTAGCACATTTGGAACACACGACCTACCTTGAAATTTCAGTACTGAATTCTCAATCGTGAACCCGGGCTTTGGCCTTGTTTCCATTTCATCACAAATTTTCTGTAGGAATTCATCTTCTAGTTGCCGTTGCTTGATTTTTTCCATAAATGTCGGTTGAGCTGATACCGCTGCTACTATCGCATTTTGGCCATGCAACACAATTCCCACATTTATTCTTTCCAAATCATGTAATAACTCCTTTTGCCCCGTGAGTAAACTCGCTAAATTCCTTGCACCCTTTCGGCTAAAGGCATCTGCCACCGTGTTAGCTTTACCGGGATGGTAATGGATTTGTAGGTCATAGTCTTTAATGAGCTCCAACCACTGTCTCTGCCACATATTTAGCTCCTTTTGGGTGAAGAAATACTTGAGGTTCTTGTGATCGGTGTAAACTTCACAAGTAGTTCCGTACAAATAATGCCGCCATATTTTTAAAGCAAAAACCACTGCAGCTAGCTCAAGATCATGCGTGGGATAGTTCTTTTCATGAGGTTTAAGTTGTTGTGAGGCATATGCGATGACCCTTCCATTCTGCATAAGTATACAACCCAACCCTTTGTAAGAAGCATCACTATAGATCACAAATCCTTTGGTGCCAGATGGCAAGGCAAGAACAGGTGCTGTAGTTAACCTCATTTTCAACTCCTAAAAGGCAAATTCTCTTTGTTCTGACCATTCAAACAAGACACCTTTCTGAGTTAACTGAGTAAGTGGCACAGCAATTTTGGAAAAATCTTTAACAAATCTTCGGTAGTACCCGGCAAACCCCAAGAAGCTACGTACCTCGGTTACATTGGTAGGAGTTGGCCAATTCACAATAGCTTCAATTTTGTGTGGGTCGACAGAAACACCCTCTTTTGTTATGACATGACCCAAAAATCCCACTCCATGTAACCAAAATTCACATTTCTTCAATTTTGCATACAGTTTCTTATCCCGAAGAGTCTGAAGAATTAACCGTAGGTGGTTCTCTTGGGCTTCCATACTGATTGAGTAGATGAGGATGTCATCAATGAACACAACTACAAAGTCATCTAGGTAGGGCTTACAAACTTGGTTCATTTGGTCCATGAAGGCTGCTGGCGCATTGGTGACCCCAAATGGCATAACTAAAAATTCATAATGTCCATAACGGGTCTGGAAGACAGTTTTCTCGATATCTTCAGCGTTAATCTTTAGTTGATGATACCCAGATCGCAAATCTATTTTAGAGAAGACTTGTGCACTCCGTAACTGATCAAACAAATCATCGATCCTGGGCAGAGGATACATATTCTTTATGGTTACTTTGTTGAGCTCTTTATAACCCACACACAACCGAAGGGTCCCATCGTTCTTTTTTACAAAAAGGACTAGTGCGCCCCAAGAGAAGTGCTTGGGCGAATAAATCCTTTGTCGAGGAGATCTTGAAATTGGAACTTCAACTCTTTCATTTTAGCGGGTGACATTCTATAAGGGGTCTTGGAAATAGGCTGAGTTCCTGACACTATATCAATTGTAAACTCAATTTCACGATCAATTAATTCTCCCGGTAACTCTTCTGGAAAAGCATCCTGAAAATCCTGAACAATTGGAATTGCATCAATGCCCCCATCCACTGGTTGTTCACCCAAAATACTACATAAATACCTCTGACAACCCTTTTGTAATAACTTACACACCTTTATTGCAAAAATCAGATAAGGTGAGGAAATCACCCACAGCCCCTTGAAAATAGACTTAGGCTGTCCTGGGGGTTGAAAGGTAACTTGTTTCAACATACAATCAATAGTCGTATGACATTCGCTTAACCAATCCATCCCCAGAATTATGTCAAAGTAAGCCATGTCAAGAGGTAATAAATTGGCATCTACCTGAATATCCCCAATTAGAAGTTTACATGCACAATAACTAGACGTACACACCATAGACTCCCCCGACGATGAGGATACACACAAAACATAAGGTAGCGGTTCCATAGGTCTATTCAAATGACTAGCAAAAGCTTTTGATACAAAGGAGTGGGTAGAGCCCGAATCAAATAACACGTGCGGAATAACCATTAACAGAAAATGTACCTGATACCACAGTCTCGGTATTTTGCACGTCCCCCAGAATTAACGCAAATGCCCTTTTCTGCTTAGCAGTATCTTCAGTATTGGTGTGTTTCGTAGCTGTCTTTGTAGTTGGAGTAGGAGTTGATCCGACTGAACTTGTGGTGGTTTTATTCCCATTCTGTCGATCTTTTTGTGGGCATTCTCTGACCAAATGACCTGTCTTGCCACACTTGAAGCATGCCCTTGTTACCCGATAACAAATCCCACGGTGTCTTTTTCCACAATTCGGACAAATTGGTGCAGAGTCACAGGTAGAGGCGGATGTGCTAGAGGTTCCCGAATTCAGCTTCTTACTCGATGGTGCCACTGAGCCCCTGGTGACTTGGGTATTTTGTCTCTTCTCTTTCCACACTGAGACCCGGCTTTGAGTGGCAATATTACCCTCAGCGATTACTGCCCTTTCCAACACATCAACATACGTAGGTAATTTCAGCACATTAATCCGGTCGAGAATAGCAGTTCGTAATCCACCTTCAAACTTTCTTGCCTTCTTGTAGTCTGTATCCACCATATGGGGTGCAAAATGGGCCAACTTGGAAAATTGAGCCTCATACTCTGCAACAGTTTTGTTCCCTTGTCTCAAGGTCTCAAACTCGGTCACTTTCTTGTCTCGCATACATTGGGGAAAATATTTTTCATAAAACAATTCCAAAAATCTAGCCCATGTCAATCCTTGGTGTATAGTTCTTGTGAGCATCCGCCACCTCCGTGCTTCATTTTCAAGAGTGAAGGCACCGAATTGTACTTTTTGGGCCTCAGCACAAGGAAAAACCTCGAATACTTTTCCATACCCAACACCCACACTTCTGCTTTCATTTGTTCAATTTCCCCTTTGAACGAGGGCAGTTTCATCTTCTTGAATTCCTTCGTGAGCGTAATTGTTCAGTCCTCAGCCTGGTGATCTTGTACCTTTGGTGGTGGTACAGGTACTGGTGTGGTGGTTGTTGTTGTTGCTGTTGTTGCCTCAAGGTTTTTTCCATCTCTTTAATCATTCTATCTATTGTGTCCAACCGTACGAAGGTAGAATCTTCCGGATCATCCGTTTTCATCCTCACCATGATCTACATAACGATTAGTTATAATACACACAAAAATGCACAAGTAGGCATGGATCATGATCATTACCAATATATATATATATCCGTGATTATTGCATATACATTCTAGCTGCTACATATCATTTTGTATGCACAAAAGTCACATGCATCTAACTTAAGTCTTTTCTAGATGCTCTAAAGCTCAATGAACTCGTGTGTGATGTAGCAACTCGTGCTCTGATACTAACTGTCATGACCTAAACCTGCCCCTAAAAGTTTGGATGTGACCGGCCTAACTTAAGGCCTCAACTTTGCTATAATAAATTTTACTCAATATTAGGGCCAGAGTAGAATCAAAATAATAGAATAAAACATTCATTGAGCTGTGACTACATGCCAAGATCGTAATACATTACTATACATAAGTACATGACATTTCATACACCATTTACATTACTGATTATGTGGAGAAGGTAATTGCCCAAAGGTTAGGTAATGCCAAAGCATATTTACATATATCTATTCCTTCTAATTCCAACAAAACGTGCCAACATACAGATTTTCCAAAATTAAAAAAAAAAGTCACTTTGGGCGACTCAGCAAAACGGTTCACTAAAGGACTCCTGGCTGACCTACAGTGGCTCCGCAAGCTGGTTACCTACAAAACATCCACAAAAGAAAATGAAGTGAGCAAAGCCCAGTGAATGATAGTAATACGAACAGATTAAAGGTCCGAGCATAATCTAACAGTGCATATTCATAAATCACAGGTTGGACTTATTCATATTTCTTTTTACGAATAGCCTCGGGCCTACATAAGATAGAACAACCTTAGGCCCAACATAGTACAGAACGGTCTTAGGCCCATTATAATAGTAAAACGGCCTCGGGCCCAACAGAATACAAAACGACCTTAGGTTCATTAGTTTAGCAATACGGCCTTGGGCCCATCATAATAGCAATCAGAATGACCTCGAGTCCATATCTCATGTGCCAAAGTTCAAACATATATCAAACATATATCAAACATAACTCTTATAGCATAAGTTATTTACCAAATGGGTGAATAAGATATTGAACCACACATATGAATATAATGCATGAATGGGACATGACATTATGCTACTATCACTCACAGTGATGCGGGTGAACGATGGTCCCCTCATGTATGTGCCCTACACACAGCACATGACTCGTAAGTACACCACCTTTTTCTTAGCTTCTTCTTATTTCTCAATTATCCGATTAGTTAAACTCCATATAATTTAATGCATTATAGGAACATCAAATGGCCATAATAACGCATTCAGAGAGTCGAAAAGAATGAAAGAAAATTATAGAATTTTTTAGCTTGGGCCGTACGTGCGGAAGTCCGCACCGCACGTACGGGCAGGTGCGCCGCATGTGCGGGCAGCATGTGCTTTTATTGCAGTGTAGCCCAATCTTTCTCCCTTGTTTTCTGCACGGGCGGCTGTAAGCCCCACACGTGCGGCTGTGCCTCCTGCACGTGCGGCCATGAGCCCTGCACGTGTGGTCGTATACCTTGTTTTGGGCAGTTCGAAATTCCATCCAAGTCAAACTTTCCAAGGCATTTCTAAAGGAAAATATAAGTAACACCTTCTCAATATCATATCATGTGAACATGACAAACAAGGATTCATACATAAATAGATCATAATTCACCTTAAGCAATTTATACAATTTTGTAATCATATTTTTTTTTCATCTTTTCATGATTAAACAAAGTAGATACAAACATATGTGCAATGACCAAATATTATCTAACACAAGAATCAACCCTCAACTAGATCAAGACAATGGATCTTGATGTCTTCCATGGATATTTACCAATCAAAGTGAGTAGCTCAAAAATCCCAAGTTAAATAAGTGGAGAACATCGTCCTCAAGCTTGATACAAAACAATTGGAGTGAAATTTAGGGTATTTGAGTTAGATTACACATACCTTGTCCTCTATTCTTTGAATCTTCTAGCCAAAACCCTTCAATTCCCAAGCCCTAATTACTCTCTTCTTTCTCTTCTTTTAGTCTCCTCCATGAGATAGTTTATATTTGTTTTTGATGCTAAGTGTCGCCTTGAATCTCTTATATCATAGGCTTATATAAGACTAGCCCAATTAAATCACTTTAATTCATTACGAATCACATTTCTACAAAACTTCATATTATGCCCTAGAAATCATGTTGATCATAACCGTAAAGTCAATTTCGGTTATCGTGCCTCTAAGGCTTTCAATTTCAAGTTCAAACGTTCTAATTTTAACAGATTTTCTCCAATAACCCACAGATAGAATGACATAATTAAATAATTCGTATATGTAAGCATAACTCCACATGGTATTTCACATTAAACAAGTAATTACTCATATAACTAGAGATGCAAATCATAGAAGAGGATCTGGTTATTACATATACAATCAAATGGTCAATGCTCAAAGGTAGCAAATCAACGTACAATGTCATATCATCAATCAAAACATCACATGCAGGATATACATAAGTGCACATCATAGAACTTCCCAATGGTATAGACATAGTTTGTATACAATTCGTAGGTTCTAATGATCTAGCCAACTTCTAGGAAAAAGCATGTGATACAAATGAATGCGTAGAACTAGAATCAATCAGGCATTCTATGTACAAATAGAGATTATACCTAACACTACTGGCTCAACATTCTGTACATCCTCGGGTACTAGAGCAAACACTCTCCCTTGCCTTAGTGTTTCATTCCTAGTGTTATTCCTGGCATTAGTTCTTGCATTGGTTCTGGTTACAGGAGCAGATCCGGCTGAACTTGCTGTAGAATGGTTAGCATTGTCGAACCTCATTGGACAGTCCTTAATTATATGACCGGTTTTGCCACACCGAAAACACGCGCCCGATGCACGATGACACATGCCTTTATGTTTCCTTCCACATTCTGAACAGATTGGCATAGACCCACTACTTTGGCTTAAGCTGCTTGAAGATCTAATATTTTGCTTTTTGTTTGCGAAGAAGGAACGACCCTTCTAAAAATTAGACCCGGATCTTTTGCTTCTCCATTCTGTTGTTGATGCCTTGGTTTGTTTCATTGTTGCTATTGTGGCTTCCACCATAATTGCTCTGTCTAAAACTTCTACATAAGTAGGCAATTTCAAGATGCCTACTCGGTCAAACACTTCCATATCCAGTCCGCCTTCAAATTTTTGTGCCTTCTTGTAATCAGTATCCACCATATGTGGAGCAAATCGAGCTAATTCAATAAATTTGGCCTCATACTCAGCTACGGACATCCCACCTTGTTTAAGTTCTTGGAATTCAGAAACTTTCCGATCCCGAAAACACTGAGGGAAGTATTTATTTTAGAAGATCGCATTAAATTGTGCCCACGTCATATTTCCATTACTGTTTCGGATTAGCAACCACCACCTCCAGGCTTCATCTTTCAAAGTTTAGGTAGCCAGAAGGACTTTTTGAATTTCAGAACAAGGGAATACCTCAAATAGTTTCTCCATTTCAAGTAACCATGTTTTTGCTTTTAACAATTCAATGCCACCCAAAAAGGTCGGTTTCATTGTTATCCGGCTCAACCTAGACCGGCGGGGGAGGTAAGGGTTGTTGCCTCTGTTGTTGTTAAGTCATTGCTTCAGTTAAAGCTGCAAGCATTTGTTCCATGTGACTTATTTGAGCCTTAGATGATTCAGTTGTTCCATCACTTCTTGTATTTTTTGTTTGCTATAGGTAAACAGAATATCATAAACATAGGCAAATAGTCCTTTTACAATATTCAGATCATTTGTTTCAATATCATGTGATCATAATCAGATTTATGCTTTCACTTTCAATAAACACACACTTACACATGCAGATGGAATGCCCCTACTTCTTACTAGGACATCCTAAGCTTATATGGACTCGTGAGTGTGGTAGAACACGTGCTCTGATACCACTCTGTCACGACCGAAACCCGCCCATATTGGGTTTAGCATCGTAACCGGCCAGTAATCCTTGGATTACCAAAGGCCTCTTATCATAATAATATATAATTAGGGGCTACGAAAGCAAATACATAAAATATACATAGTCCATCGAGCTGTGAAGACATACATAGGACAAATAATCTTAAACTTTCATAAACTTATGAGTGACGTCAAAAGATACAATATTTACACGTCACTTCATGTATATAAAAATAGAAAAACTTGTTTGTAGAGCAAAAGAAACAAAGTCTTATACATTCATAATAACACAGCTACAAGACTTGACTTAATCCGGAACCTCCTCGGGAGGCACAAAGGTTGGCTGACAAAAACTGAGACGCTAGGTCCTTAACTCTGAGCCTGGTCACGCACTTGATCACCTATATACATAATATAAATAGTGAGTGGGAGTCCAGTGAATAATAACAGGGTAAAAGGTTAAATGAATGATGTCCCATAACTAAGTTTGTACATAGAATAGATTCATATTCGTATTCTTGTTCAATTAATATACAGAAATCAAAATTCATGCTTGATCATACGTAGTTCATTTGTTAGTGCTAATAGATCACATACAGAGCATCGAAGATCGTACTTGTCAGTTCCATAAAGGAACCTCCGGCCGGGTACGGATAACTTGTCAGTTCTATAAAGGAACCTCCGAACTAGGAACAGATAACTTGTCAGTTCTATAAAGGAACCTCCAGCTGGGTACAGATAACTTGTCAATTCCATAAGGAACCTCCGGTTCGGGAACAGATAGCGTACTTGAATCATAGCATAAATACCACAAACATTTGTTAGAGTTGGACAATCATTCATAGTATAAAACATGGCATTTCATAGAACATATCTTATTCCATATGCATAAATAATTTAACTTGCACATAACTTTACTAAGTTATTACTCACAGATAACAGATGGCTCCAAGTAAACGGACAGAGTAGGCAAATCAGAGATTTTGTGGCGCGTGACCTACACAGATATAGAACGAATACATAATGAATTACACACCCGAAGTCATTAACTTAATTCTT